GACCGAAGCAGAGCATGCATGCCACGACGAGTGATGGCAGCTGGCAAGGTGAAGCGTTCATTCTACTGAGCAAGCCGGTAGTAATGACCCTGGTCGACCAGACTCATAAGTTCAGCGTGCTTGCAGGGTTTGCTGTTCTTGGAGTGGATCGCGGAGCGTGCTGAAGCAGAATTCCTGCTGAAAACAGACGATGACGATGCCTGGCCGATCTTTGGGTACCCAACAAATGATGTTTGCTCAACGGTAGATGTCGAGCAGCCACGGAGTGTCGACTAAGTGGCTTCATGACGGCAAGGTCTACCTGCGCCCAGCACCCTTACTGAGGCGGAGCTTGAATTCTCCAGTAGTGCTTGCATTCTTGCTGGAATCCTGGAAATAGGGCTGGCCTTTTGGCACCTGTTTTGGCACCTGTGGAATGTGAAAGCTTTAGCCCAATCTCGTCAAGCAGAAAGCTGATTCCCAGTGCAATGAGCCATTCCTGGAGTAGAAGCTCTCCGAATTGCAGTCACTGCCCCCAAGAAGCTTTGTCCAGGCAGCTGCAGAAGCGAATTCCAGCACAGTCACTCGTCAGATTGCTTGATATGCAGTTGGGTGTACTTGTAGGGGTTGCGCGGATTTGTAAGTCAGAAAGTAGATGGCAGCAACCCACTTTGCTAAGGTATGCGTGGGCAATTTTCGACTACATCAGCCCTGTGCCTAGGGACGAAGACGACAACTTTTACAATGCCGAGGTGCAAAAAAATTCACATGCTTTCCTCTCGTGACGGAATTCCTGAATCTATGCTTCGAGGGCTTGAAAACAGAGCTCCACATGGAGCCCGACTATAGATTGAATCGCAAGCCAGGAAGACTTCCCGTTCCCCGTCTTCCCGCCATACCCGCGCGGCGTTGTGCGGGTTCTGTCGATGGATGTCGTCCGTCTTCTGGCCAAAGCGAGCCAGGAGGCAAGTGTGGGTGCAGTGCACGCCGCTTTTGCATGAATGTTTTGATGCCGATGGGTTTATCAGCAGTTTGCGCTGGCAAGGGCCGACTTCGAATGATCTACGGCTGCTGTGCAGCATGTGGCACATGGGGCAAGTCACGCTGCAATCCCAACATGTGCATGGTCTTGAGAGCGAGAGCATGCTCAAAACTGCGAACTGGAGCTCGACAGACATGGTACCGTGATGGCTTGCTTCTGTTGCTGAACCCATCAGCTTTCTCTTCCGAGGTGACGATCCGTGCATAGGGGTCCATTTGCGCCAGCTCCTCTTCGACGCGAACGAGCCGCTGCCCTCGCTGACCCTGGACCGAAGGGCTTTTCATAGAATCTTGGAAGAGCAGGGCTGGCTGCAACGATGCCTAGCAGCTTAGCACAGCGTGCGTTGTCACGGTGCAGTCGTATGTGGACGCAGCTCCTACGTAGTATGCACGATCGATCTTTTCTGCCGGCCAGTTCCAGGACGATTTCGACAACAGGGTCTTCGCAATGGAGCCCAGCACCGGGCTTAGCTTCATATGCACTTTGCTTGGCATATTTCGTCCTGGTCTGTATGGAGCTCACGGCAGTAGCATTCTTGATCCAGAAGCAGCTGCTACTGCTACAACAACAACAACAACGAGAAGAAGAACAACAACTACATACTGATACTGCTACTACTACTACTACTACTACTACTACTACTACTACTACCACATGCCACATGCCACATGCCACATGCCACATGCCACATGCCAGATGCCACATGCCACATGCCACATGCCACATGCCACATGCCACATGCCACATGCCACATGCCACATGCCACATGCCACATGCCACATGCTGCTACTACTACTACTCCTCCTACTACTACTACTGCTGCTGCTGCTACTACTACTAGTACTACTACTACTACTACTACTACTACTACTACTACCACTACTACTACTACTACTACTACTACTACTACTACTACTATTATTATTACTTACTACATGCCACATGCCACATGCCACATGCCACATGCCACATGCCACATGCCACATGCCACATGCCACATGCCACATGCTGCTACTACTACTACTACTACTACTACTACTCCTACTCCTACTCCTACTCCTACTCCTACTCCTACTCCTACTCCTACTCCTACTCCTACTCCTACTCCTACTCCTACTCCTACTCCTACTCCGACTCCGACTCCGACTCCGACTCCGACTCCGACTCCGACTCCGACTCCGACTCCGACTCCGACTCCGACTCCGACTCCGACTCCGACTCCGACTCCTGCTGCTACTGCTCTTGCTACTGCTACTGCTACTGCTACTGCTACTGCTGTTGCTACTGCTACTGCTACTGCTGCTGCTGCTGCTACTGCTACTGCTACTGCTACTGCTACTGCTACTGCTACTGCTACTGCTACTGACTGCTACTGACTGCTACTGACTGCTACTGACTGCTACTGACTGCTACTGACTGCTACTGACTGCTACTGACTGCTACTGCCACGGCCACTGCGACTGCCACTGCCACTGCCACTGCCCCTGCCCCTGCCCCTGCTCCTGCTCCTGCTCCTGCTCCTGCTCCTGCTGCTGCTGCTGCTACCCCGACTGCTATTGCTGCTGCTAATGCTACTGCCACTGGCGCTGGCGCTGCCCCTGCCACACTGCCCCTACCACACTGCCACTGCCACGGCCACTGCTCCTTCTGCCACTGCGACTGCGACTGCTACTGCTACTGCTACAGCTACCGCTGCTACGACGACGGCTCCTGCTAGTAGTCTTACAACAATAAAGACGACGACACGCGCGACTACTACTTTCAGTTTGCGAGTACCTTCAATACTCCTGCTAGAGTTACCGGCCAAGGAGCAAGAGGCAATCGCAATAGCAACTTCTTTCGTAGAAAGCTGTGATGGCAGAGCGACTTACGGGCAGTGGCTCGAGGCTGTCACCACAACCTGTGGTCAAAGATGACAAATCGGACCTGGGCGATCCATCACGTGCCTCTCGGCTGCTCTCTCGGTCTGCCCTGTGCTGCATTGTTGCCTAGTGTTTCGTGGAATTGATGTGCCACATGCCGTAGCGCATCACCACACTGCATATTCCGGCTCCAGCCGGAAGACACTGCTTGTGCTCAGCCCAGCAAGAAAGCAAATCAAGCCGACGAGCAGGAAGCCCGAGCAGATCCTTTGCATGTGGTCTGCGGATATGGCCGCCGGCTACTATGCGGATGGAGGTGATGCAGGAAGCCTTCCCGTAGAGTAGCAGTATGAAGTGTATGAAGGGTTCAAGTTGGGTCAAGGGGAGCGTTGGCCATGTGCAGGCCTCCGAATCGACGAGGATCGCGAGCCCAACGAGTTCCCGGATCTCTGTGGCTGCGCTACAGAGCTCCGCCTGGCAAAGAGTCCAAAGGTGTGTGTGTGTGTGTGTGTGTGTGTTTTTGTGTGCTTATCGTCTTTGGCCGTCGGGCTTTGGGAGGTCCTTGTCATGGCTTTTGGTTCTTCAAGATGGTGAGTTGCAGAAGACCCTTCATGCGACATGCTTGCGGGAATGGGCCTTCCGAATGGGTGGCCGAATCAGAAGTTTTCCTAGTGGTTGTCAGGCACGTCATCACACATGAAAAGATCTAAGAAGGACAGCAAGTTTGAGCTTTCCCAGCTTCTGCTGTCAAGCCGCGCTCAAGGATGAATCTTTCTTCGAGCGGAGTGACCTGGACAAGTTGCAGGAAGAGACACAGCGAGTGCTCGACGACGAGGAGGACCTTCGAGCGAGCCTGCACGTAAAGGGTGAAAGCCTAAACCCAAACATATAAACCTGAGCCCAAAACCCTCCTAAGCGCTAAACCCTTAATGCTTTCTGTTCCGTGAAGCATGGCAGGAGTGAAGGGTGTGAGTGGGCAAAAGGCAAAGAGCTGCCTGCGCCCGGAAGAAAAGCGCGAACTGCTCTTCATAAGGAGCCTCAGGGGAGCAAGCGGAGGGGGTTGGGGCCACATTTCCTAAGTAAGCCTTGTTAATATTGAGGCCTCCTCACCCTGACTCGTCTTGCTACTCCCGCAAGGGTCCTTACCAGGATTCGATGATTTCTCCCAGTATGGCAAGCTTCTGCCTGTGGCCGGGTTTGAGGGCTTCTCTGTTACAAGCAGCTTGCGCGACCTCAGACTCAAAGCCTGCCAGGGGCTTTGTGTTGGTGACGTTTTTTGCACATTAAAGCCCAAAGACTTTTGGAGACACAAACTCTTGGAGCGCTCCAAGCAGCATCAACTCTAGCGCTTTTTGCCTACTTGTAGCAGCTTGCATTGCTACATCTTTCAGGGGCCATAAGCTGCCAGTGTCACCGAAAGCTCTCCGATTCCTTCACCTGCAAACCATGTCGAAGGCCGGGAGGGTAGCTATGGCTGTGGGACTCACGTGTCATCGTGTCCACCAGATTACAGAATATGGATCCCATCAGGGGTACAGGCTAAGATCACCAGAGTGCAGAGTGCTTGGGCCTTACGAAATCTGGTCTGGCCAGTCGCGAGAACGGGCGGATTGGGCTTCCTGTTGGACTTCATCTCAGCATACATGAGAGATCGGAATCCAGATTGGCTTCGGCTCGTGTTTGCGGAAACGCGAGTCTGAAAACCAATCCAACCTGAAATCTTATCCGAGATGAAACCGGTTCCTGCGTTTTTTTTGTCGTCTATATCCTAACGGCCTCAACGATGTTTTTTTAAACCCTAAACCCATAACCCTAAGGCTAGGCCCGAAGCCGAACATAAAGCTACAGCGGCAGGTCTGGGAGTCCGCGCAGAAGCCCAAGGGCAATCGAAATCTCGATGATGAGATCAGGCTTTGAGGGAATTTCGGGAGCCCAGGGAGGGAGGAAGCCCCTCTAGGCCCTAAGCCCTGAACCCTTTAACCAGCACGCAATCTAGTCAGCGAGTTTGTCAAAAGAAGGGATGTGCTGGGATGCAGCCTGCAGAACTAGAGCTCCAGATTTTCTGTGGGTTTGCGTCTGCGTGCCTAGCATTGCGATCCTCCGTCGCTGCGAGGCTTATGGCCGGGAGCATGCTGACGTACAGCACGCTCATGTCGGCGAATGAGGGAACCGAGACGCAGGCCGGATTCCGGCTGCGCTCTTATGAAGCTTAAACTCCGAGGAATAGTACTCGCTCTTCTGCTCGACCAAAAAGGGTGCATAGCGCATAGGGTGCCAAAGAAAGAGCTCTCCGAAGAGGAGACCAGCGTGAGACAATGGCCGTAGTCGGACGCCGATGGGATTGTAGAGCGGAACATCCCATGAAGAAGTCAGGACCTTAAGCCCTGGTTTAAACAAGCTAGCAGCGTGTAAGGCCATGAAGATCGTGGCGAGACGCCAGCAAGAGAAGTTGAGGGGCTGCTTGATGCTGCCGTTGGCCTTCGTGTACTTCGTCCTGCTGCCTGGCACATCTGGGCACATGCGAGGCCGCATGAGCTCCCAAGGTCCAAGCTGATGGCCATGCTTTCGATGTAGCAAAGACTGGACCCGTTTGTGCAAGGTTTTGTACGTCTATCATGCTGCACGAGGACGGGGGTCAGCAGTAGCGCAGATCACTTTGTACTTACCCGACGTTGCTGTGGCGACTAGATGGTGGGGAGAACCATGACACGCTGGAAAGGACATCTCCGATGTGTACATGATTGAGTCGCAGCTTCGCGGGCAGATGGACGACATCTTCGGTGAAGTGGAGGCCTGCCAACAGGTAGCTTCAGCTAGATGAGCCCATGCTGGCAGGAGCAGTCATGGCAGTATTGCCTCTGCACACCTGACCCCCCCCCCTCCCCCCCCGATCCCGAACCACCTTACCGCACATCGGCAGGACATGGACTCCCTGTGGGTGTCTTGGCAGGTACCCATGCCGAGTGTCCCGCAAGGGTTTGCATTCGTCGATCACTCTTTAAGTGTGCATTGCTTTTGGCGTCACTGCAGCCCCCCCTCCGGCGGTACCGGTAAAGCTCCTAAAAGTCAAAGAAACCCAAAACAACAAAACTAGGAACCACGTCTGCTACCAGTATTTTGTCTGACCCGAAGCCCGAGGATGCCATCCAGGGTCCTTTCTCCGAGATGCTCTTCAAACAGACCGAGCCACCGCAGAATTTCAGCTGGGCTGAGCCCAGAGCTTTAGGGTTTAGGATCAAGGGGTGGGAGAGAGGGGTTGGGAGTTTAAGAGTAGCAAGGGTTGTTCAGCTCGACTTGTGATATCTGGATACGGACGATCTCGAGGCTGGGCTCGGCAACAGACACAAATCCCGGAAGACCCAAGACACGAGACCAGAAGCTGTTTCAGCTTTGCTGTGCCTTGGAGCTCCTTCGAAACCAAGCTATGCAGCAGCGGCCCTCATGCACAGCGGCGTCTTTTTCCAAGGTGCTGTGCGTGCTATCCCAGTAGACTAAGGACATGTACGGCCGCGCACTCTCAAAGAACACGACGAGCAACAAATGGGGCGACTGGGGCCGGGTGCTTCGCTACAACCAAATCCAAGGCTGGGATGCTGACTAATATGGGGGCCGTAATGACTACCTTTACTATTTTGGGGGTTCCTTATTTAAACTATAGTACAATGGGCTCCAAAACCCTATTCCAATTATTAAGGCCCCTATAGTAGTGCTCAGGGCTACTATCAAATTTCCGCCAACTCAGAAACTCCGAACCGATGCTTGCTTTCTCTCCCCAATCCCCATCTGAACCTTCATCCGGGAACCTCTCAAGCAGAGGCACAGGACTGCGAATATTTGAATATCCTTAAAGCTTGCAGACATGCCGGTGTGGAGGCGCGCTGCGATTTCAGCAGACGAGCGCCTCATCCTGTGGATGTCTGAAGATGTTCGGTTTCCGCAAGCGCAGCCTGGGGATCTAGTACTGAACGGTCGCCGCTCGTGCGCCTTCCGCCACAGTTTCAAGTCACTGCGAAGCAAAGCTGGTACCTTCAGTTGACCTATGTTGACCTGTACTGAGGAAACGTGTCTTCAACGTATGGTAAAGCCTTTCAGTGCAACAGCGAGATTTCCTGCAGCTGGGATGCAGTATGGAGGGCATGGACTACATAATGCAAAGATTCGCTCGGCATGCTCGAGTTGTTGGCAATCACGGGTCCATTCGCAGTTCTGGCGACCGCATTCGTCCTCCAAAATTCCTGATGGTGCATCCACAGAATGCCGATTCTGCTAGGTCTTACCTACGTGTTCTCCATGAGAGAGGATGGAAGCATCAAAATACAGATGTCCGAGAAGCTGTGCCAGAGTTAGTGAAGCCTAAGTTTTGCAGGCAATCCTGAAGAGACAACGGGTGTGAGTGACGTACATCGGGGTCACTGTCGTCGTTCCTATGTCATGCATGTGGCTGACTCTATGGTTCTTCGAAAATCCCGTGACTTCTGCTTGAGCCTGAAGCTGAGCTGTCAAGGTTTCCTGTGCCGCTCCAACCGCGGCTTTCAACCTGCGTACCTCAACCAGTGCCGCGTCCAGGATTCTTTAGGATGAGTACGACAGCATCAGTGACAACGATGATGAAGGTGATAGTACCGCGGTGATGATCATGTTGTTATAGTGGTGGTAGTAGTGGTGGTGGTAGTAGTAGTAGTAGTCGTAGTGGTAGTGGTAGTGGTAGTGGTAGTGGTAGTGGTAGTGGTAGTGGTAGGGTTAGTAGTAGTAGTAGTAGTAGTAGTAGTAGTAGTAGTAGTAGTAGTAGTAGCAGTACCAGTACTAGTAACAGTACTAGTACACTAGTATCAGTACTAGTACCTGGTGCTAGTCCTTGTACTAGTACAAGTATGCGGAGGTGGAGGAGGAGGAGTAGCAGGAGTCGTCGTGGTAGTAGGTACGCAGTAGCAGTCGCAGTAGAGTCGCAGCAGCAGCAGCAGCAGTTGTAGTAGCAGCAGTAGCAGTGGTTCAGCAGTAGGAGTGGCGGTGGTGGCACAAGTAGCTAACAGTCGTCTTCTTGGTGGCAGTCGTAGTTGTGGTGGTGGCGGTGCGGGAGACTTTCAGTATTGTAGTCGATTTGTAGTGTTCATCATCTCCTGTTGTCATGATTCTTCTTCTCCTTCTTAGAACAGGCGTTGCCATTGTTATCATGATTGCTTTTTGCTATCGTCATGGTTGTTGTTATTGCTGGCTAGCAGCAGCTGCAGAAGGAGGAGGAGGAGGTGGAGGACAGGAACGAGGAGACACACCGGGAAGGATGCTGAACTCTGCATCGCTTCTACCGCTGCGTTGCGAGGTTGTCAGGTGCTGATTGCGCTTCCAGCGATGATGCTCATTCCTGGTGATTAGTTTGATTAACTATAGATCCAGAGAAGTTCATCGGTGCCGCTCTTCTGTTTTTGCAAAGCTGTGGCTAGCCGTGCACGTTCTTGGAGGAACGAGTTGGTGCTTCCTCTCATAGTGCTCCCGCAGAGCCGTTGCTTTGGTGTGACGATGCAGTGTGAGTTTCGGGGTAGTTTACCAACACTTGGAGCTGCCTGCTTGAGAAGATCTGGGTTCCTGTCAGGCGGGGTAGCAGCGGCTTCGTTGTGGATTGCCCGACGCTCAGGGCGGGGCCCGCATGGGCACGGGCACAGAGCACAGCTCGCCTGTTCAGGGCAACGGCAGTGCAACGGCCTTCAGGCTTCTTGACCTCGGGGCTTCAGTTACCTGCCCAGTGCGACCAGACAACAGTGGACAACTCCTTGTATATATATATATATATATATATATATATATACATATATATATATATACACACACAGAGATTACGTATGATGCGTATGTACTGCTAATCCGAGAAAGGTCGTGATCAGTCCCTGGGTGGCTAAGGCGGCAACTGGACCTCAAGTCGAAGGCCGGTCGTAGCTGAGTCGTTCAGCTGACCAGGTTTCGGGTTTAGGGTTCGGAGCTGGCCTGTAGGCCGTGAAGAGAGCACCAGTGCCATGCACCACAGCTGCCTCTTTATGGCTTCATGGCCTCCCCGGGAATGTGTCAGGCTTGAGCCGGAGGAGGGCATCGAGCAGGCGCAGCTTGGCAGCTCTAGGGCAGGGGCCCTGATAGTTTTTGAATGGGGCTTGGGGGTCTCTTGCAAGGACTATGAGGGGGCACCATTACTTACTGTTGCGACCCCAAATATTATCGCGCTCTCGCTCTGGGTTTAGAGCCTGCAGAGTACAAGAGCCTTGGCGATGCTAGTGTAAGGATTGCCCCCGACAGCCTTCAAAGCGTGCACCGCCACACGTAACACGCGTGGACTGAAGTCTGTCCTGCTCAAGACAAGATTGAATCCTGGGACCAAGGCCTGCAAGCCTTGCATCATGACTCTGTGGTGGTTCTGAGATCTCTGTCTCATACTGTCCTGAACCCTGACCTAGATTTTACAAGCGTGCGTGAAACGATGTCGTGCAACGAATTCCCCGCTGTGATCTTTGCCGAAGCAGATCAGAGGGCTGAAGGTTTGTAGGCTGGAGGGTTTAGGAGCCCCGTGATCTAATTCGTGGTTCTCTGGACCGCTGCGCATCACGGCCTGATCCGTTACGAATGATCCGATTGGTGGGTCTACCAGTGTCAAGGAACCGAAACCTGAAGCTTGAACTCCTCAAAGAAGCCTAAGGTCGAAACACTTGCAGTCCGTTGAAATCAAGAGTCGCCCTGCTGTCCCCACGAACAATAATCTCCGTTCAAACTCGAAAAACCCCTAAGCCCTTGTCGTACCCGAAATAGTGCCGAATCGCTACCTTCATGGTACCGCATCGTGGGCCTTGCAGAAACCTTTCATAGTGCAGTGCCTTATGCTGACCCTTACTGTACCTTACAGCAACCCCTTGTCCCTTGCAGTAACCCTTGTAGCTTAAAATGATCCTTACAGAAACCCTTAAAGGCACTTCGAAGCCAAGGCATTTGGGCCGAGAGCTCTCGCAGCTTCAGCCGTCGATGCTGACTCTCGGGTAGAAGGTTTCGGATTCGGGGCTCCGAAACCCTTACATCCCCCAGCCCTGACCTTAGGGGTTTAGGGGTTTAGGGAGAAGCGCAGAACCTGCGACAGGGACCATATGGCTTCAACCCTGTTTTGCAGAAGGAGCATCGTGTTGCCTCTAGGGGTTGCTAGGCTGGCAAAACCACGGTTGAAAGTGGAGAACACCTGCTCCGATGCCGTCATCGAGACAGCGCCTCACCCCTGCGTTCATAAGCAATCTGCAAGTCTTGATAGGTAAGAAGTCTCACGCAGAAGAGATCTTGGAATATCCTCGGCAGGAACAACGGAACAACTAAATCTTACCTTTGTCTAGACAGGTGCCGTAGCTTTTTGAACGACTTGTGTGGTGAATTTTGGCCACCTGGCCGAATTATGTGATGTGTTCAAGTGTAGACTTCGACGGCACTCCCCTTTTGACCCAAGGACCTCGTTACCAGACGAAAAGACAGACGAGAGGGACGTCTTCAGGCCCGGCATAATCTCAGCATCGCCGGTTTCTGTATAGCCAAGGCTGTGATGCAAGCAAGTCACAGCTCCAGGGTGTCCGTAACCGATCCGGCCGGCTCATAGAGCTGGGGATCCATGACCCGTTCGCAGGCATGAGGTCATTGAGGTCCTCACCTGACCCTAAGCCCTTGTGTTGTGCACAGCGGAGTTTCTGGCTGCGTCGCCAGAGTAGCAGTTCTCGTCCTTCATCGTCCTCGTCGTGCTCGCTTTCGTCGTCGTAGCCACAGCGGCAGCAGCTGCAGTGGCAGATGTGGCAGCAGCAGTGGCAGCAGTGGCAGCCGGCATGCGGCAGCAGCAGTGTAAATAGCACAAGCAGTAGTAACATTAGTTGCAATAGCTGCAGTCCTCGGAATCATGGCGGAGATGATGACGATCAGGACACTGTTGACGAACACGGTAGTTGTGGTGGTCATGATGATGGAGGTGGTGATGAACATTTACGGTGGTGGTAGCCGACTAGTGACCAGTGACTAGTGTTAACCGACAGAGGGGTTGCATCGGTACGTGTGCAGATAATACGGATGCGCAGCACCGATGACTTCATGCCCATAGCTGCTGCGTTGGTTTCCCAACCAGTTCAAGAATCATGTGCAGGTTCTACTTATATCCATCCGAGTCCGCATCACGGACAGCAGAGCGCTTGCAGTACTTCCGCAATCGTGTCTGGCTGGACAAGGACCCGGTTTGGGGGACGGGGAGCAGATGCGTCACGCGCTTTTTAAAGCATTTCTAAAAGAAGAGTCCACTTATCCGACTTGAGCCTGGCGGCAGGATTCCGAGGTCTTGCAGATCCGCCGCTTGCATGCGCCTTTAATGCGCGCCCTTTTTTTTTGAAGACTCCGAGCCACCGCCTTTCGACGGACGTCTTCTCCGCCGCTCCGCTCAGGCCTGTACCTGCTGAATGCAGAGCTGGGCCAGCCGAACATGGAGCAGGCGAAAAGGGCTTCGTAGGTAGCCAGGAGTCGGAGGACAGTCGGACTTCTGGCCCCTTGGGCCCTTATAAGGGCCCACCCTAAACCCTAAACCCTAAACCCTAATACAGGCCCTTTCAGCTTTTTCCTTCAGTCCCAAGAGAGTCTGAGCCCTAGGTCCCTGTTGCACAACTCGGCCCAAGGAGCCCTCAGGAAAATCCCGTCGTTTAGGGTTTAGGGTTCAGGGTTTAGGGTTCAGGGTTTAGGGTTTAGGGTTTAGGGTTCGCAGGTGACCCTGAAATTCTTCATGAGCACTGGTGGAAGCGGCTTGGCAGAGCTTTGAGTTTAGTAGAGTCGGCAGAGGACCCAAAGGGCTTTGTGCGTGAATTCCAGGGTGGGCTGTGGCTGAGGGCAGCGCAGAGCTGCAAGGCTATCAAAGTTCAATCTTCCTGTTGTGGCAATTGCCGCAGTCAGGCATTTACTACCAGCGCGACTTCCAAGCCGTCTTCTTCGAAGTCTTTCCGAACATGTCTTCCATGGTGACGCTGCGGCAACTTGCGCGTGCTGTCATGGGAACAGTTAAGCAAGCATGTCATGGCCTTTGCCTTCAGGTCGCAGATGGCCTCTTCTTCTGTGTTCTCGTCTTCACCGGTTCTGGCCTTAAGCTGTCATGTTCCGAGCCCCGGGCTGAACTTCAGAGAGAGCCGGGGGCCCAGGCGCGTTGCAGATGGTGGTTCTCTGGCGGGCTGCTCGAGAGCGAAAGCTGGTGCAGCACTTCATGGACATCAGGCAGGGAGTAGTATAGGGGTTTAAATAATTACCTATACTATTTTGGGGGTTCCTTATTTTTTAATTATAGTATATTGGGCACCAAAACCCTATTCAGTTCTAATTATCAAGGCCCGTCTTGGCACCTCAAAAACGGGAAAACAGGTCATGGACTCTGAGATACTGACTCCAGGACACTAGCCTCAAGGTATATCCGTCGACGGGTTTCGTCACTGAACCAAAAGCTGACAGTTGCAAGGATCTTGTTTCCTTGATTGAATTGGTGGTGGTGGTTGCAAGTTCGGTTTGATGTGGATTTGCTGTTGAGGACCGTCGTGTGCGCATCAACAAGGGTGATAGCACGAGCCGCCGTTGAAATGCCTGGGCTGCAGATGTTCGGTCGCGACAACGCCTTGCGGTTTCAGCAGTCCCTTTAAGACGCCGTGGTAACTAGATACATGTAGACCCTCCAGCATCGTAGCATCGAAGAGCATGCAGAGAAGTCGTCACTCGTGCATCAGATGCGCCTTGGCATCGCCTTGCATCACTGTGTATCCCAGTTGAAGAACAAGCTAAGCCGTGCCGCTCACACAGATTCGGCCCACAACAACTGCAACATGGCCTTGCCCTGAGCCAGGTCTATCTTAGAGTTTGTTGTGATCATCGTTGGCATATACTTCTGCCACCCGGCTGCACTGCACGTGATCCCATTGCCTCCTCTCGCGCTTGGGAGCCGATGTGCAAGTTCGTGGGTCGATCGGTTAGGAGTAGTGTACTGTATGAAGCGAGCCCCCCAACACGCAGGCAAAGCAGAGCATGGCGCCGTTATCCACAGTCTTGCATGTCTAGGTTACCAGTTCTACGCTGTCTTCCAGACCAAGGACGCAGGGAGTTTTTCCTCCAGACTCCCCCCCTTGGCATTCGGCTACCCTTTCCCATTCTTGCCAGTCACAAAGCTCTGCTTGCCAGTCACAAAGCTCTGCGACCTGGGAGGAGCGGACGACGGACATCGTCAATGAGATCCGTGCCAAGGGCTGGGACGTCACTGATGACGACCAATCCGCGACTCGGCCCCGGGAACCGAAACCTGAAATCGTCCTAAACCCTCGAATCCTAAACCCTGAACCGTCCTACATCCTATTCCACAAGGGATTTGTGGTTTTTTGTCGAGACAAGAGTTGGCTGGCTGTGACACCTCAAAAAAGGGGCTGGACACTTCGCACAGGGTTGCATTAAGGGTTTCTTCAAAGGGTTACGGTAGAGTGTTGTCGGATGTTGCATATAGGGGCCTTGATAATCTCAACAGGGTTTGGGGTAACTGGGTATATCATCGCACAAGTATACTGAAAAAGGCAGTACGGTTGCAAATTGACTCCGGGCGAAGCAAGCCGATATCTGGCCACCAAGGTGATCGAGCGGATGTTTGAGATCGGCTGCGGGCCTAGTATGCACCCAGTTGAGTGCAGGATTGCCAGACTGTGTGCTGGAGGCCTGCAGGGAGGATGGTGTTTGGGATGCCTTCTGAAGCATCACATGGCTTTTCACTCCTGTACGGTGTAAGAGGCCCGGGTAGCGTCATGAGATCTGGGGGTGTAACTGAGCCGGCCCTAGATGAGCAATGAAAGGAGATGCAACATGCCAAATTTCATCAAGCCAAAATTCAGTGTCAGTAAGCAACATGAAGAATGAAAGCCGTTCCGTGCTCCTGAAGCCTTTGCTGAGACCATCTACAAACATGGGCGGCTTCCTGCGATTCAACTTCAGCTCTCCTTCCCTACACCCTCAAGCCTAAACCCTAAACCCTGAACCCGAATCCCTGAAAGACCAAGCCGAAAGCCTCGAAGGCTTCTTTACAGGTAATATACACATGCATATATACATATACAATATGCATGTGCGTATGTATATATATATATATATATATATATATATATATACATGTGTAAGGTATGCATGTATGTATATGGGTATAGTCACATATGGGGTCTGAATCTTTTTTCATAATGGCCCCTGTGTAGTTGTATTATGATGCCGCCCAAAACTCAATTCTGAGAAGAAAGGCACCCTTCGTTGAACCAGTCCCCACGACGCACATTTAGGTGAAGTTGCAGCAGAAGACATCCTCAGCCTGCGCTTATTAGCCGCCAACTACACACTGATCCTCACGCCACAGCGACTGCATTCAGGGGTTCAGGGTTTAGCGTTGAGGGATTGATTTGGCCGTCGTGTCAAGGGTTTCGGGTTGAAGGTGCTTAACCATGCTCTCAGCAGGGGTACAGACTCGATGGCTGCCGGTGAGAGTCGCCAAACCCTGAACCCTAAAACCCTAATCCCTAAACCCTGTGCCTATACCATAAACTCTGAACTACTCCTGGGCCCGAACCCCACAGACTGAATACATTCTTGCAGCAAGGACGACGTGTCGGGGCGCCGGGCTTGCGGGGTCGAGACCGGTTGCGTCGCGTCGTTTATGCTTCGCAAAAAGATGAGTAGCCCAATTTCTCTGTAAGTGAAGAGTTATAGATAGTAGATATGTGCCGTATGTGTATACATGGTCACGCGCTCCGCGCCCCCGTCCCCCTCTCCCCCCACCCCGTGGTCTATGGTCCAGGATTCCCCCCACCCCCGGCCCCTGTGGGGTGGGGTGTGGCGTCCCTCTTCTTGTGTGGTGGTTGTGGGGTTTTGGGGTTTGGGTTTAGCTTAAGCTTTTGAGTTTTGGGTTCAGGGTTGAAAGGTATAACGCTTCGAGTCGACACGGACCTAGGGAAGGTTTGGGTGTAGGTTCGTTAGGGTTGACGGTTTGTGCTCTACTTTAGGCTTAGAGCCTGCATTTAGGCGGGGTTAGGGTTGGGTGTAGGGTTTAAGAAAAGGTTCGCCAGCCCTCCAGCTGCAGCTCCAACGACCCCGACCCCTCTCCGCGCACGCCAGCTCCCCCCCCCGGCCCTTACTTCCCCAACTCACTATGGGTTCTTACGTTGGGTTTAAGCAGAATTGGTTCTTGTTTCCGCGAGCGCACTCCCGCTGTCGCGCAGTGCTCATGTCCTCCGATGCACACCGGATTCGTCGTGCCCGTCCCTCGAAAGCCAGACCCATGGCAGACCAGCATACATATTGGGCTCGAAGTTGAACCTCGCCACTAGTGTCATGCGCTCTGCCTTTCCCGGAACCGAGATTCCGCTTCTTTGCGAACTTCCGGGCGCAGCCGCAGCTTGCCATCATCACGAAAACTTTGGGTGCGCTGATCGTGGTGCCTCGGCTTCCAAAAGCAGGTCGAGAATGGCCGTATCCTACAATTGGGTGTGTGTCTGGGTTCTTATGGTAAGGATTTGGCTTTTCAGGGTCTATTTGTCCCGTACTTTCCGAAACTGCCAAGGTCTCACGCCGTAGCTTAAGCTGCCCATGCCCGGCTGCTGCCAGGGTTTCGGTTGCCAACGGTACTTGCTGCATTGCTGTCTTCCAGTCTGATTGATGTGGAGACAGAAGAGGGGCTGCACATAACTATAGATGCTACACTGCATGCCAAGGAGATCATTCACTTCATTGTTGTCTTTATTCCGGCTTTCTTGATCTATGTGCCCAAGCCTCAGTCACCGGTAGCCAGCCCACTTGAGGGCAAGCCTGGGGTCTTTGTACCCCAACAGCTAAGACTCGGGACGAACACCTTGTCGTTATTGTGCGTCAGGAACACAGGGACACGATGAGTGGCAAAACCGCTAGCAATAGCGGTAGCAACGGTAGCAGTTGCAGCATCAAAGCTTTGACACAACACCAATACTACAACGACAACAAAAACCACCACCACAACCCCCGCTGATCACCACGACGATGACGACAACATCAGCAGGAACAGCAGCAGGAACAGAAACAACAGCAGCAACAACAACGACAGCAACAACAATAGCGACCAGCACACAACAATCAGCACACAACGAGTAACGAGCACTACTTCTGCTGTATCGAATACAATTACGATGACGAAGTGGTCGTGCTAATAAATGTAAGGATGCACATAGGATGAGCGAGGTATTGTGAATAACAATAGTGCCAACAACAAGAACACTAGTGCCAGCGACAAGAACAACCGCTTTACTAGTAGTGATGACGACCACGAACAGTGTCGTGGTAATGACAATGGCGACAACAGCAAGAAGCCGCCAACAACTGCTGCCCTTTCCAAACGCACTTCAGCAAAAGTGCCCGGAAGAAGCCACAAAATGGTTCGATTGCAATGAGGACTCCTCTTGCAAAGTTTTTCCCGACACCCCGCCTTCCTGGGTCGTCATACTCGGACGGAGCCTCCCAAATTTTGACTGGGAAACGAGTTCTTTTTTTTACCAGTCGTGCAGAACAAACTCGGTTTGGCACCTGGTATGTTGTGTTGCCCAGACAATCCACGACGACCCTCCAAGCCACTCTGAACAAAAAGTGGTTTCCAGCATTCCTAACGGATCCATCTTCTTTTGCCCCGTGTGTTGTTCTGACCCCACCCCCTTAATTAAGGAATATACCTTAAATTATAGGGGCACTGATATTATGATTTAAGGTATATTCCTTAATTAAGGGCTCTTTAGGAAATCCAGCGCTCCAGCCCTGAATCCGAGCTTGCACCCCGCTTGGGGGCACCCCTTGGTATCTTTCAGTTTGCTGGATACCGGTGTCTGCTTCTAGCAGCGACAGCAGCAGTGTTTTAGTTGAGATGTTGACAGTGAGAACAGTGCCTCTAGGATTTGTAACCTAGTAGGACTTGATAGGAGTTGGACTGCGACTGTAGTGACAACAGTTATAGCACTCGTAGTGGTGACGGTCAGAGTGATAGTGATTGTAGAGCGACCGGAAGGAGATCAGCCGTCGGAGCGTCATTGAATGCGCTGTTACAGCCGCAGACAACCATTGTCGCAGTACTGCATATGGCAAAAATGATTGTGGCACTATGAGAATCGGAATGGTAAGGTCGAACAATAGTGGCAGCAATCGCAAAAGATATAAGAAGCCGTCATTGTGTTCATCGTGTTAGCGAGCCTCGTGCCGGAAATGAGCAACACCATAGCAACAAGCAAAGCAACCCTTTGCAAGTTTTAGTTCCCAGCTCTCCGACGTTCGAACCTCTGTGACGCGAGGACAAGTGCGACCCTGCTGTTCGGGCGCAAGATCGAGGATCCCAGCTTATCCGAAGAATTTGGGGCGTCGCAGAGTGCAGGGTATAGTACAGTATAGTACAGAACAGTATGCTGGGCTATACTATGCATGCTTTACTGTACTATTCTGCCATATTCCACTTCAGTGAGAGAAGCCTCTTCCTAGAGCCGTCGAGCAGGATGTGTGCACCTTCGAGGGCTCACTGGGTGCCGCGGCAGCATTAAGATGAAGGGGGAAGGTCATGTCAGTGCTTTGCAAGAAGGGAAGCAAAAAGGGCTGCAAAGACCAAGAAGAAGGAGGACGGAGGGATAAAGAGACCGCCTCGGAGCTGAAATGCAGAGGATTTGCGATGCAACAGCCCTGAGCCTAGCCTGGCAAAAGAATATCCGAGCAGCACAGGCTACATCTTCCGAATGGCGCAGGAGGGTGAGTTCGACTGGGAGAGCATGCAGGCCTGACATCGCCGTTTTGAGAGTGTAGCCTCAAAGGATCTCAGATACAGGAGCCTCTGCTCTGTCTTGACCGCCTGTCCTTTCTTGGACTGGGTCTGTTTTGTTCTTCGGAGCATAGGGGCTGCTCCGAAAGCGAAGTTGTCGGTACCAGGAAGAGAACTACTGGTCTTCCGCCATCTGGGTGTGGTCCTTTGTGGCGCCTTGGCAAAAGCAGTGTCCCGATCATAGAGGGCAGGAAAAGGCGGAGAAGTCAGACATGGCGACTAAGACTCTAATCAGCCTCTGATAGGTTTTTGTGAACATGCTACTGATCAACCTGCTGATCGCCATCATCTTGGACACCTACAAGGACTCAGATCTGATGATGCAGCCACCCTCCACACCAACCACCCTGGCCTTGAGTTAGACAAGAGACTAGACTAGTACAGACTACATGACTAGACTGAGCGAGACCAGACCGGACCAGACCAGACCAGAGCAAACTAGACGAGACTAGACTAGACAAGACCAGACTAGATTAAACCAGACTGAACAAGACCAGACGTGACTGGACATGGATGTAGATAAACAGAGATAGACAGAGGTAGGTAAAGATAGGCAGAGATAATTTTTTAGAAAGATGGAGATAGATAGATATCGATAGACTCGATAGACATCGATAGAGGTAGATAGAGATAGAGACAAGGATAGACGCAGATAGACAGAGATACATAAATAGAAAGATAGCTAGATAGCTCGAGAGGTCGAGATATAGATGGGTGCGTAGACGGGGACAGACTCCTAGATCTGAAAAGCAACGCGTCTGTCACTGGCCGAGGGTCATATCATACATTAGTAGCCAACCTAGTTGCCTCGTCAAGTCTCAGCACCTATCGAACCCAAGCCGCAGAATGTTGGAAGGAGGTGGGAGTTTCCGAAAAAAGGGGCATCTACCCTAAATAGTAGGATCCTTCTGATAAGGACCCCCAAATAGGGGTATCTCCGGTGTGCTAGTGGGTAAGCAGTCCTCTGCAGGAAGTGCAGCGGAACCAAGACTCCAAGGAGGCGGTGCCGGGCCCAGCGAAGACGTGCTCGGAGACAGAACCTGGTGGCGTGATAGCTTATGTGTACGCATGTTTAAAATTGTTTGTCTATCTGTCTATGTATCTTCCTGTTTGTCGACCTACAAAAATCTATCTGTCCATCGATCTGTTTGTGTGGCTACCAACCTACCTACCTACCTACTTACTATCTACCTATCTATCTATCTATCTGTCTATCTATACATATGCATAAAGATGTGTCATTTGCCATTTGCATGCTGTCAGTGGTGTCCGCTGCCTAATTAGAAATGCAAGGCTCCCGGAAAAGGCCGAAAGGTGCTGCCACCGGATGCTTCCAAAAGGAGCTAGGCGCCTGTAGTCGTGGTCTCCCTCCATTGAGGGCTGTACTCCACACATCGCGCAAAATCTCGGGAAGCAGCTTTAGAGGATCTTTGACCACGGCTATGTTCAGTAGCCCACTTCTCTCCTGCTGCCACACAGCTTCCCAGCTAGCAGGGAGTTGAAACAGTGGGGTGTTGCGGGTCTCGTGCTCAGTCCTCAGGTTCATACACGCCATCCGCCAATCAAAGGTGGCCATAGCGTCCTTGAAGGCAGCAAAGCTGTCGAGGGCATCCAGACCTCGCCGGTCCTCTGACACTTCCTCCTCGCAATGCTCGCCCAATCGTGGCAGCGCAGCGTGAATTTCACTGCAGTGCTCCGCCGTCCATTGCTCCACGCCAGCCTCCACGTGGATGTAGTCAACCTCCGCCCGCAGGTAGTCCACGACCTCCTGGATCTCCTCCGGGTAGAGTGGGACCTTCTTCAGCTGGCCTCGTAGCTGAGCCTCCACGTCATTCGGGAACGGTTGGGTCAAGAGGATCTCACACATGGCAGCATGCAGATCCTTCTGCCAGCTGCTCCACTCCGGCTTCATCTCCTCAATGTCCAAACCATCCCCCGGCCTTGGAGGCGCCGGGGTGTAGTGGTCATTCTCATGGCGTCGGCGGTGACGACTGCCATATCCCGGACAAATGTCAGCATTGGGTCGCCGAAGACGCTTAAGGGCCCGTACACACTTGACACTGGAGCGTAGGTGGTCCTCCAGCCGGCCAGTAGTCCAGTACTCTGTACCGCAGCATTCGCAGCGGCTTCCTCGGATATACTGCCGATATTCAGCACACCTGCCATGTGTTTTGAAGTAGTGCACGCTCAACCCCGATCGCTTTCGAAATGTCTTGCTGCACATTGTGCATCTCCATAGGCCAGGGCATCTGGGTTCATCCGGTCCTTCATTCACATCCCTGGATAACAGCCACAGACAAACTTCCACGGCTGCACGCCCCTTGTAGGCAGTGAAGTCCGACTCATTTTTCCGCTGTGCCCGCCGTTTCACTCGCTGTGGGTGGCTTCGAAGGAGATGCCACCACTGGGCCCATGCAGCAGCCTGTGCCTCCGGCCAGGCTTCTTCATCCCCATCCACCAACCACCGTAGGTCATCGCACAGCTGCTGGCCCCAGCATTTCTCATGCTGGATCATGGCCCATAGCACCTCCGGGCCCCTTCTCGCCAAGGATACCAGGGCAGAAATTCTGCTACGCCTGGCATAAAGGTCCAGGGGCCAACAATCCGTCGCCCAGTGAGCAAGCGCCGGCGGTACCCGGAAGAGCGCGTCACCCGGGATGTCGCGGCAGAGGAGACGCCGCACAATGCGGGAAAATGCTTCGCTCATTTGAGTCCAGGCCTTACCTTTGGCGATCCAGATTTCCAGGTTGTGGTACGTAGACACCACAGCCGAGCGGAACAGCATCCCACGGGTGGCCAAAGTCAGGTCTCTGTTCTGCAAGAGAAGGTCCTTGGCCTTGTTGTAGGCTGCGGCGGCCAGCGCCGTTCTGTGCCGACTCTCATGCGCCATTTTCATGGTCGGATCCACCATACAGCCCAGATGCTTGTAGTAGGGGACGATCTGAAGGCTTTCGCCCAGGTCTTCCATTTGTAGCTCTGGTCGCCCTGAGGAAAAGCATCGCTGGCGTGTCTTGGTTGCCCCACGTCCAATGAGGCGCATAAGGACACTGGTCTTGTGTCGTTTCAAATTCGGGGACAACCCGTGCGCCCGAAAGGCCGTGATGACCATGGAGCCTACCCGCGCTGTGCGCACGGCAAGCTGGTCAGCCCCATCAGCCGTTAGTGCAAACGCGCTGTCATCTGCCCAAGTGGTATCCCACACAGACTGCGGGTTCTCACACGGGTCGCACTCAAAGGGTCCTGACTCCATGTCCAGGCAAAGGCTGAAATTGATGCATTCACCCTCCATCTGCTCGTGCACTCGGTAAAGTATGCGGGCATAGATGACAGCAAAGATGCAGTCAGCCCATGAGGCACCAGGTCTGGAGCCTGCCGTCGAGCGGCAGATAGCCTCTCCACTGGAATACCGCGTGGTAAACCACGAGTCCCGATGGAAATCCCAAGCAGCCGCCCTGATGGGATCCGGAACACCGGCCTCGCCCAGCATCCCACCACTCAGGATGAGGTCCCGGAGGTCTGCTGTATCGCTGCCATCCAAACCAAATCTATGGAACAATGCCTCCACCTGGCGGTCAACCGTCAAGTCTCCCGTCGCAATCTGACGTACCAATCTATAATACGCAGACCGCGTATCGACAAAGATGACGGCCGCACTCTGCTTGGTCCGGGCACACCAGCGGAGGTGCTCGATGACGAACAGCGAAGGGAAAAGGGTGGGCATACCCTTCCGAGAACCACAATGCATCGGGTGCAAAAAGTTCTCCATGCAATCGTTGATCTTCGATCGCATCACCTTATGCAGGGTTTTACCCACGAAGCTTGATATGTATAAGCTTCTGTGGGCCTCCGTGTCGCACTGTGTACCAGAACCCTTGAAGGCCTCATACAGGATGCCACCTCGCCACTGGAGGGGTTGCCTCCCACCAACCAACGTCTTCAGCTAGAGCGGCTGGATCGCACAGGCAAACTCACTGGGACACGTGCGTACCAGATCACTTGGTATAAGGTCGAGGCCCGCCGTCTTCCGCGGCTGTGGACCTCAAAACCGCCTCAATGTCGGTGACACTGGGCAGCAGCTCCCATGTCCAATCATCTCTGACCCTGTCGGCGGCTGACATGGAGAGGAAGTCGGCAGTCCTGACAATCTTGCCCACCTCCTGCTCCCCGAAGTAGGTGAGCCAAATCTGGTCACGGTCCTCTGCGGAAGTCGCCTCCTCTGTAGTAGTCGGGTCCAGGAGCTTCGGTAGGGCCCGCCGGACCGGCTTCTTAGCCCTGGAGCCAATGCCTGCACGCTTGGCCCTCTGCATGATTGCAGTGACAGACTGGGGCCCGTTGGCTGCCACGCTGCGTAGAAAGCGGTCCTTGGCCGCCGCGATCTTGTCCCGGATTCGCCTCGTGGCAATCTGAATCGCTCCTGCTGTCAGTTCGTATAGGAGGGTATGCTTCGCAACCAACGCAGCAAAGTCATACGCAGCTTCGCTCCTCCACTGTTGCATTGCCCGTCGCCTCATTTCCAGTCTTTCTTGTAGTCGCCCACGTGTTCGCCACTTGAGGTGCTGCTTTTGCTGGCGAAGGGGCCAAACCTCATCTGGTATGTACGAGGCCTTGTTACCCACATCAGGTCGACAAAAATGCTGCTGCAAGGTGGCAACCATGTGGTCTTGAAATTGTTGGCAATGCTTGTCTGGATGGACCTCCCATGCTGGTTGCGGGAAAGAGGCACAGGCTGCCGCAATGACTGCCTTGCCCTCCACAGTCTCCATCTTTTCTAGATCGAACCTGGGTCTGTAGAGTCGTTGCCTCCTTGTCGGGTCCTCCAGCCTGCTTTGTAGTGCAAGCTCCACAGCCCAGTGATCCAAATTGGGACTTCCATTGTCTAGTTCTCTATTGACTTTGCTAAAAGCAGCATCGACTTTTGCATGGCCACCAAGGAGGATATAGTCGATGCGGCTTTCTGAGCCGGTGTGGTGGCAGTGCGTGGCAGGCTCACCTTGGTGGATGTGGGAGAACGTCGTCGGTGCCCACACTCCGGCTTCCTCCATGATGCCAGCACACAACTCACCAGTGTCATCCGGCTCGTCAAACTCAAAGTCCCCCGTCGTGCCCTCAAGTCCCAGGGGCAGTCTGCCGTTCATGTCGATCCCGCAGACCAGGATCTGTGTATGGCGTAGTTCCTGCAGGATTTTCCGGAAATCCGCCAAAAACTCTGTACGCTCCGCAGCTCGTTGGGGATGAGGGCAGTGCGCCGAAATCAGACCCACCTTGGTCTTGCCAACACGGACCACCACAGCCAGGATCCGAGGGGAGCTGATCCGAACACTGATGTCCTCCTCCCGCGGGATCACCGCCTTGTTGTCCAGCT